AGAGCCCTGTAATCCAGCAAAGCCTTCTTCAGCTGCTACCGGCAAAGCAACCTCCTGACTGGCAAATGCTGATGTCACCCGGCAAAACGTTGCAACACCTACAATACATAAATGAATCAACAACAAGGGATGAAGCATTCGGGGTGACTTAACCAGCAAAGTGTCATGTGGAAGAAAACAACACCTCCAACACACAAATGCTCCAAAAACCAACCAGGCATACTATTCGAATTAATCACTCACCAGAGTATGGTCCACGCCCTCTCGAAGAACGATTGCACGAAATGAAAGCCTCGTATCCCTCGGCCATTATGACATCCCCAGACAAGTCCTGCCTCGACAATTTGGTCTCCTAAAGCACACCAAACATCGGCAAGGTCAGCTGAACCGAACCACACACTTAACCCCACTTCATCTAGTAAATCCATTCATTTTCAGCGCGCAGAAATCAAGAAGCAGGCACCACAGTACAGTGCAGACTTGGTGAACCCGGATTTCATGGAGTATAAACGGTACATGGGAATGAACAGCAATGAGTGAAGTGGTAACATTTTGGCGGCGGGGTGACCACAGACAGCTAAAGGCTAGGGTTCGGACGCATGACCCTCGAATAATACGTAGTAGATGGGGAGGAAGGGGATCAGCAATTGGTCGGACCTGGAAGCAGATGATGTCAGCGTCGAGCGAGTCGAGGAGGCGGCGGAGCGAGCCGTGCTGCGCCACCCGCGGCCGCAGCCCGTTCACGTTGTACGTCACTATCTTCACCATCCCCGCCGAGCTAGCAGGCGGAGGTTCTCGAGGACCCACGACGGACTTAGGAGGGACGCTCTACTCTTCTTCCGCGGGGGCGAGACGAGTTGGGCGCCGCCGCCTCGCCGGTGAGTTCGTTGTGTGGCGCACGGTGAAATGTCCGGTACCGCCCCCACGCCGGCGGCGGCAGGTGCGATGCGCCGGACCTCTTAGGCCTGCGACTCACGTGCACCGTCCGATGGGAGCGATGAGGCTGGGATCCAGCCGCGGTAAACTTCACCTTAACCCTTGCTCTATTTTTCGCATTGAAAACCCTAATGCTCCAATATTTGCATCTCTTGAGCTTGCACTAGATATTTTATTTTTACTAGCACAAGGGCCGTTACAACGGAAGAAATATATATATAATAATCTTCAACGGCCATGACCACATTTTACTACATCATCGAGATACAGTATCACTCTCAATTTTGTGAAATCGTGAACATTTTTTAAACTCGTGCACATATTTGAAATCATGAGCAATTTTTCAAATTCGTTACTCCCTTCATTTTTATATACAAGGACACAAACTCAATTACATGTACTACCTTCGCCTAGGTGAATAAGTCATTCACATTGTTCTAGGTCATCGATTTGAGAAATTAAATATGTGTTATATGTCATGAAAAGTATATCACTAGATTTCTACACGGACGTAGTTTCTAATTTTTTTTATTACATATAATACATATTTAAATAGTTAAATCGCCGACCTAGAACTACGTGAATGACTTATTCACCGAGACGGAGGTAGTACTAAGGTAAAATTTAATACATGTTTTACAACCCGACTTTTCTTTTCGTTTAGCGGGATCATTAATACACCGCATGCATGGAAGAAAAGTGAGTGGAGAGTGTTATTATGACAGCATGCATGAAAGTATTAAATAAGTTGCTAGTACGAGCAAACATCATTAATTTTGCCCCGGTTACTGTCGGTGGCCTTGTATAAATATAAAATATATTCCATAGTGGCCTTGTATAAGTAAATGAAGGGAGTAACACTTCCATAAAATTTTGAACATTTTCTAAAATCAAGAACATTTTTTGAATTCTGTACATTTTATACCAGTTGCAACATTTTTTAAAAATTGCAAAAAATTTCTTGAAACAATTTTCTTGATTCGGTGAACATTTCTAGAATCGGTGAACTTATTTTTGGAAATTGGTGGAACAATTTTTAAAATTCACGAACATTTTTTAGATTTAACAAAAAAATTGATTTGACGATTTTTTTCAAATGCATGTTCATTTTTTGAATGAACGAAATTTTTGTGAACAAATAAACTATTTTGTAAGTCATAAACAGTTTTTGAATTTTTAGGATATTTTTCATTCATGAACTTTTTTGAATTGGCAAAATTTTGTTTGACTTCATTAACATTTGTTCTCCATGATCTGGTGCAACCCGAGATTTTAAAGCTATTACGCTCAATGAAGCTCTAGCATTGGCAGGGTGATCACTATCCATGGAGAATCCATATAGGGACGGATTGTATGGTGACCATTAAACATCTCCAGGAGAGCTATATGGGCCAAAGCAGTGACACTATACATGAGATCAAGATGTAGATGGGAGAGATGGACGAAGTTTGTGTGGATCATGAAAAGCGGGAGCATAATGGTGAGGCGCATGATCTCACTAAACCTTCAGTTACTCTTGATGTGGGACCCCATGTGTGGCTGTTGAGAATACTTGCCACACTCCATTTTGATTGTATAAAGTCGCATTCTACCCCTCAAGAAAAAAAAAGAATGTAAAGGGTAGCCACACCACCACATCGACATACCCTGCAAACCACAACATCCCTTGGAGGTAGTGGAATTTCTAGGTTGAGGTAAATACACCCGTAGTGCTCGAACTTGTCATGGATGTTTAGTTTAGTGCCTAAACTTAAAAAATACACTGAACTGGTTCTAAAACTTGACACAAACGTGCAAATACAGTGCTAATATCATTTGTATACGTTAAGTGCGCTGGCGTGCCACTGTATTTGTCTCTATGATTATTGGGTCCCGCCTGTAGGGAAATTAAACTGTAAAATAGAGGTCTGTAGGGAAATTAAAATGTAAAATATAGGACAACAGGATTCGAACCTGCAACCTAAAACTAAAAATGACTGTGGCAGGCCACCACGCTTACTTGCAACTGTTAGCAATTGCGGCTCCTGAACTTTAATGTAGAAAAGGTTGTGGTACTTAACGGTCCATTTAGCACATGTTATTTTTTTTCCTTAATCTGCTTAAACCGTCTGTATATTACTCCCTCCATTCCATAATGTAGTGCCTATAGATTTTTGTAAAAGTCAAACTTTGCCAACTTTGACCAAGTCTACATCTACAATACCAAACATGTATATTCTGAAAATATAACTCACGATGTATCCAATGAGGTGCATTTGGTATTCTAGATGTACCTACTTTTCTCTATATACATGGTTAAAGTTTGTAATGTTTGACTTTTGTAAAAATCTATAGGCACTACATTATGGAATGGAGGGAGTATAATGATAGTAATACAAATAAAGTTCAACTAATCATGTTATAAATACGTTACGTAAAACGGAAAAAAGCTAAATTTAAAAAAATCATGTAAAAAATGTTCAAGTATTATTTAAATATAAGCCATGACAGTATATTTACTAAGTTTTTAAAACATAATCCATGACTGTATATTTGAAATGTTTGTATTAAGTAAACATTTTTCAACAGTTATGGATTGTGTTTAAGGTGAATATTTCAATAAATTATAGGAACATCTTTTAGTAAGATGTTTTATTGCATAAATTTATATATTTACTTTTTGTGCACATGAATATTTGTGTACCATGAGGTTATTATTTATGTACCACAAATATTTGTAACCGATAGTTGTGGCCTTGTTTATGGATTTTAAAAATAATATGTGCAGACGAATATTTTTTACAACAAGGTAATTATTGATTATGCACGAATATTTGAATCTAACTTTTAGTATTATGATTATTATTTACATACTTTTTATGTAAAAACAAAGAAATAACGTGTGCTAAATGGGCCGCACTCAGTGCAGCCCATTTTAGTAGCATATCCGTTTTCATTTACACTACATGATATTTCAGAGGCCAGTATACTTGTAAGGATGAAGTTGGGGTAGTGGTAGGACACGCTTGCTGTATGCTATTGGGCACAGGTTCGATTTCTGTCTGTCTGTATTTTTTACTTTAATTTCCCTGGCAGTAGGACCCACTAGTCATAGGGACATATCATATATAAAATAATTTTTTTCCCTATTTATAAGAAGGCTCGATGCCAAGTCAGGTATATACACTGCCACGTTGGAGCACTTTACGTATAAGAATGGGATTAGCACCGTATCTGCACGTTTGTGCCAAGTTTTAGAACCACTTCGACGTATTTTTCAACTTCAGACACCAAACTGAACATCGCTGGCAAGTTCAAGCACCACTGGTGTATTTACCTCTTCTAGGTTTCATAAATTTACGCCAATGAGCCATCATCACCATGGAGCCGGATACACTCAAGGAAAATTTATTCACATGATCAGTGTCATCCCCACCATCAGAAGTGAATCCCCTAAAGCGGGAATAGAGCTCCATGATCAGTGCGCTCCCACGCCGGCGGAGGAGGGAGGCGAGGACCTACCGGGAAAGGAGGGACGACGGGCACGGTGCGCCCAGAAAATATCATCTTAAAATTCAGAGTGGAGAGAGCAGTTCTCATGCTTACAAAAATGAAACGGGGAAGGAGAGAGCAGAAGGCAACTCGTACTTGTAAATAAAGCATGTGGTGGATGCAATGTGACCACCATATAGACTTGTTGTGTTCCCCATTGGAGTGGACACAACATTTATTCTCTATCAACCCGGTCGAAAATCCCGTAAGCCTTGCCTGAATTTCCCTTGTTTCATGCGATAGATAGTAGGCGATGCAAAGAGAAATTAATTGGCAACTTCAACATGTGGACTGAATGAATTACTGCAAACCTTTTTCAGTTAACTACCGATTCTCAATCATCTGCAAACTTCTCCCTGCTCAAGTGTTCGATCTGCTACCGAAACTCGCCTACTACTACGCACATCAAGGTGACAGTTTCATAACCACTAACAGCAGAACATTGCTTAAAAGGTAGAGGTAACTAAGCACCGAGAAGGTTCATCATAGCTAGAATAAGCATGGATCAGACTCGCTCTTAAGAGGAAGAGGGATCATGGGCTCAGCCGCTGCGGGTCACGAGGGAAAAGCGATGCCAACCGGACGTTGTGCAGTCCGCAGAACAGCATGACCACTCTCTCCAGCCCGACCCCGAACCCGCCATGAGGAGGCGTGCCGTAGCTGCAACAGCAAGCATTTCTCAGATGACAATCACATCAAGAGACAGAGACCTCACAAATAGAACTACATGGTACTCCTTCCGTCCGGAAAAACTTGTCCCTCAAATGGATGTATCTAGCATCAAGTTAGTGCTAGATACGTCCATTTGAGGAACAAGCTTGAGACAAGCTTTTTCGGAGGGAGGGAGTAGGTGCTGCAACACTAAATGATCGTGGGCACGGGATTTTGATGAACATACCTGAATGAGTCGATGTATGACTTGATGGAACTCATACCGATTCCATGCTCCGCCGCACGCTTGGCCAGCAGCTTGGGTTCATGTATTCTTTGTGCTCCGGAAATTATTTCCTCACCTGTCGAGTAAGCAAGAAGTGCAAAGTTCGTTCAGCAAATTGAACACATGATAATTCATTACTGCTCCAACTTCAGGAAATCAGGTACTTTCACTTCAACAAATGAACATACTAGTCAGACACCATAAAATGCAGAATGTGGAACAGAAACTATCCCCACTGGCACTGATGGTCACTCGTAATGCTAGTATATTCATAGATTCAGATGGCCTGAGAAATACTTGCAAGTTACAGCGAAATAAACTAACTAATAGTACATCAGCAAATGAATTCATGCGGGACATAGTTGCTCTTACTTCCATTATACTACTATACTATCATAATAGTGTCAGGTACAGCTTGAGCAATTTCAGTGCTCACCTCGAAGGAAGACATCAAAAGAGTTGCTGTACGCTGGGTTTTCATAGCAAGGCATGGTGTAGAAGGGGCGTGCCGCCAAAGGATATCGATAGAGAATGAAAAACTCAGTGTCATACCTACAAATATTATTACAGCAAGAGCGAGTTAAGTAAATAAAAGAGACAAAATGATGAAATGAACATAAGCATAGCAGTGTTGACACTTGTACGTACTTCTCCCTAACAAGCTGACCAAGTTTTTTCTCAGCTTCAGTGTTGAGGTCAGCCATAGGCTCGATTTCTGTTCCAGCTTCCTGCCAAGCAAATAAATCACCAATGCTTAATTCTTTGAATTTCTTATTATGATGTCATACATCAGGCTGTGTACAGTAGACTTAAAGTAGCAGTTATATGCTGCACGAAAACAGCATAAAATTCAAATGATGAGAGAAAAACATCAGGGTGGCAATGAAATAGCTACATGTTTGTACTACCTTCAGCATTTGTATTCCTTCCTCGTAACTGAGCCTCAAGGTTCTCTCTAGGTACTGCAGGAATTAACACAACGTGAGTCGCCATTTCAGCTACAAAACCTAGATATTGTAACATTACTGGAACCACCAAGCAATAAGAAGCAACAAATATTTTATACCTTCAGTGGTTCAAATGGATACTGCCTATTAATTGCCTCAAGTTCCCTCTTGCAATTTTCATTCAAGTGTCTGAAAATTTGTATAAATAATCCATCCACAATATCGCAAACCTGTGTAAAGAAACAAGTTTAGCCATTGTCGGTGTGTGTAAATGAAGAGTACTCTACCAAAACTTGCTCACCTCAAAGTAGTGCCTCATAATCTCCATTTCAGCGTCCAAACCAACAAACACACACAGATGCCTATGTGTGTTGGAATCTTCAGCTCTAAACACATGCCCAACCTCAAAGACACGACGGAACCCACCACAGATAGCCATCTGCTTGTGCAGCTGAGGGGATTGTGCTAAACAAGCAGACTTGCCATTCTTATATTCAAGTTTGAATACTGCTGCTCCACCTTCACTTGACCCTGAAATCAGCTTTGGGGTGTGGATCCCAATAAAATCTCTTGCCGACAAATATTCCCTGAATTTCTGCAGTATCCAACCAGGGTAAATATTTACTAACCAGCACCAAGAAAAAAAGCATCACATGCTGCAGAAATGCATAAAATATAAATCCCTGCAGCCTTCATAAAACAGCTTTTGTAAAAGCATATGCATTGGCTTGACAAATCCATATGCAACACAGAATGTTAAAGTTAAAACTCAATCGGATCATTAGTGTAATCAGATTGCAGGCATATATAACATTAAGATCACTGGATTGATCAGTGTGTAGAAACAACTTAAGATCACTGGCAAATTAAGTAGTAGAATATCTTAACAAAGCTACACAACATATGAGATAACATGGTATGTTTAGTTGTGCAAACTCAATTCATGAACATGACTGATAGCAGTAGTCCTAAAAGCAACCAAGAACAAATACCGACGTTTTCAACTTGATGCTGTACACGGAAAATGGCTTGACCGGTCGGTGTCCGCACATCAATAACTCGATAGTCCAAGCGTGTCTCCTGACCAACGCGGGGAAGTGGCACTCCCTTCTGCAAAACAACAAGATCCCATTAGCTGAACCCAGATATCGAAATCATCATCGGAGAATTGGAGCAACAACAAACTGTGTCCTCCTCCTTCATGCACTCAAAGAGGAGCAGACAGGCAAGCAAATACGCATGCAGATTGACATACTGCTTCAGCTTTTGCAAACTCCGCCGCACTCCGGCCGGCGTCCTCGACGCTGATGGGTAGCTTCGGGTCGGCCCTGCTGATGCAGTACAGCTTCCTCACCTTAATCTCCACCTGCCAGACATCAAACGGGGATCACAAAATAACTCCTGTATGTATGTATGTATGTATGTATGTATGTGACAACTCGAACAGGAAGACATTGGCTAGGGCAGAAGGAAACCTCTTGCACTGTGGTGTAGCTGAGGGGCTCGTCGAGGAGGGCGACGGCGCCCTCCACGACGACGATGGACTCCTTGGGGAGGGACAAGGCGAAGAGCATCATCTGGGCGCTGCCGGCGAGCACGCACTGCACGGTGCTCAGCACCTGCCGCAGCTTGAGGAAGGCCACGTTCTTGGTCTTGGACCCGCGGTAGACCGCCTCCGCCGTCGCGCGGACCAGCACGGAGCGGCCGGCGGCGGCCTTGTCGAGGTGGCCGATCTCGGCCCACGGTTCGTCGGGGACCGCCGCGGGGAGGATCTCCCCGGGGACGACGTCGCCGTAGTTGGCCGCCGAGGGGTCGTCCTCGGTGGCGGCGGGCTGCTGCTGCTTCTGCTGCTCGTGCTCCGGTGAGGGGTCCTCGGCGGCGGGCTTCTGCTGCGCCTGCGCGTACTTGGCCGCCTTCTCGGCCTTCCTGGCGTCCCTCTTCCGTTGTTTATTGCTGACGGTGGCTGCGGGGACGCCCGCTTCGGGGGTGGGCGGCGCTTTCGTGGGCTCGGAAGACATCACGTCGTCGCCGGCGGGGAGGAGGCGAGCGGAGGAGCAAGGTTGCGTGGGCGACGGCGGCGGCTGGCGGAGGTTCAGGCGTGGTTCTATTCTACGAGTATATATACCGTACGGGTAGCAAAGCTCTTCCGTGGCGGCCACGTTGTAGCGTCGTTCCGTGGCGGCCACGGTCTTGAATCCCCAGCCGGATCAAGTTTCTGACTTTGTGCCCGGACGGATTCGCATCCAGCAACATCGCTGAGCTGTTTGGTTAATGTGATCAGGCTGCTGCCCCGCGCGTGTAAATACTAAGGCCAATGATCTGCGCCGGTCGACCGGCGGAGCGTTGGGCCGGTCCATCATGGGTCGTTGGATGGTCTTGCATGCAGCCGTTAGATGAGGATCTTTTCTTTCGTCCACTCGTTATCCTCATTGCATGCACCTCATATCATCAGAATCCTGCGTACTCTCGATCCTCATAATCCTTCGTGTCGAAGCTTACCTCACGCTGCGTCCTCGCCCGACCTCGCTGCTGATGCAGCTTGTGTCCCCCATCGCAGCAAGCTCCTGCTGGTTTGCCACTTCAATGGCCACTGCCAAGCTAGCAGCACCGCCATGGCCACTCACCCCGCTGACTATTGTGGAGGTCTTCATACTTTCTTCTCTATGTCTCGCGTACACGTCTCGGCTAAGGACTCCAGGTCCAAACAACAGTTCTATTATTGGACGGTCGCAACCCAGAACAACACCGCTCGAGCTCGTTGGCTCACTGACCCGCGCTTGCCATCGGTTTCTCGCGCCGCCGTGCCGCAACAAGTCGCCGTCGTCGTGTGCGAGGTCGCCGTTGTCGTGACCAGCATGGGGGCACACCTTCGCATCTCCACCACCAGCCAACGTTGCAGCTGCGCCACCACCACCGTCCCCCGTCCCGGCAAATCGACTCTATGGTCATGAGTTTTCATCTCACCATCGCTGCATGTAGCTCCCGCCGTTGACGGTTTTAGCATCCGTCGATGAAGGTTGTAGCATCGCCGGTGGCCGCTTCCAGCAAAAGAATGCTAGGGGTTGTAGCTTCACGCCCAGACGGTTGTAGCATCCGTGTCTTCCGCTCGCAACTCTTCGCATTGCCGATTCCAGCATCACCGGCAGCCGGTTGTAGCATCCTCGTCCGCTTTTCGCAGCTCCTCGCACTGCCGGTTCCGCATCGCTGACAGCCGGGTGTAGCAAAAAGCGATTTTGGTTGTAGCAAAAGGAGACATGATGGTAGCAAAAATGCGACGCGGTCTTGGTTGCATCTTCCCTGATTCGTGGTTGTGGCCGCCGCCAGCCACAAATGCCAATTGTAGCAAAATTCCTTGCCGGTCGTAGCAAAATCCGACAATGGATGTAGCAAAACTTCGTCACCGCCATCACGGTTACAGCTTCACCATGAAATCAATGTAGCAAAAAAATCTCGCCGGTCGTAGCAAAATCTAGCGATTGATGTAGCAAAAAATCTCACCGGTCGTAGCAAAATCCGGCGATGGATGTAGCAAAACATTGTTACCGCCCTCGCGGTTGTAGCTTCACCATGAAATCAATGTAGCAAAAAATCTCCCCGGTCGTAGCAAAATCCGGTGATGGATATAGCAAAACATTGTCACCGCCGTCACGGTTGCAGCTTCGCCATGAAAATCCATGTAACAAATTTATCGTGCGCCGGTTCCAGCTCGCCAACTTGGTAGCTCCCCTGTGCGGCGGATGACGCAGCAGTCCAAGGCTCCCATTCCAGCAAAGACGCAGCAATCCAAGGCACCCATTCCAGCAAACTTGGTTGCCGATCCAAGCAAAATTGGACGCCGGTTCCAGCTCTTCGCCTTGCTGGTCCCAGCAGCCTGCGGTCGTTGCAGCAAATAGGCTCGCCGGTGCCACTCGCCGCCATGCTGGTTCCAGCATCAACGGACTGCGGTTGCAACTTGCGGCATGCCGGTTACAGCATCACGTCCGCGTGTCTCCATGTCCCGGCCCAGTTGCAACACCTCGGTTCGCCGCTTCCAGCTTTTCCTGACTGCGGTTTCCGAGCTCCGCGCCCCCACGGTTCAGTATCTGACGGTGCCCAGCCCAGCTCCACGCACAGATTATTGTAGGCTTGTAGCATCGGGGGACACCGGTCCCAGCTCCACACGCTGATGGTTTCAGCACGCCATGATGCAGGTTCCAGCTCCGGGTGTGCAGTTGGTAGCCAAGACAGCGGCAGCTCCGGGTGTGCAGTTGGTAGCCAAGACAGCGGCAGCTCCGGCGTGGTGCGCGGCTGCCGCAAACTCGTGAGGCCCGAAACAACGGGCGGCCGCGCATGGGGTAGATTGCGTGAGGGATGGAAGATGGCCACCAACACAATGGTCGGCTGCAGTAGCAAATTATGGATTCAGCTCTCACGTGGTTGGGGGAGGAGTATGCGTCTGCAGCAACATTAGTGGAAGAAGACGTTGAGATAGGAGAAAGAACAGGGAAAGGAGTGGTCAAGATCACGGGAGAGAAGATAAGGTTTGACTAAGCCAAAGAAAAAGTGGCGCGACAGGCTACAGTAACGCAGCTTGGGTGCGAGCAACGTGAGACCGGCCCAAAGTTCCGCCGGTCCGCCGATTATAAAGGTTTCCCAAATACTAATTAATGTTCCTTTTATTTCTAAACGCACTTGTCTATTTTATGCAAACTACTCCGTCCGTTTTCAAATAGGAGTATAAGTCTTTGTAGAGTAGATATTTACTATGAACTACACATACATACGGAGCAAAGTAAGTAAATCTACACTCTAAAATGCATTTATATACATCCATATATGATTTATAGTGAAACCTCTATAAAAACTTATATTTTACTTCCTCCGTTTTAAAATAGATGACTCAACTTTGCAGTCTATTTTAAAACAGAGGGAATAGAATTGAGCGAGTATATTGGCTTGTTGTTTCCGGTACCAAACTGCTGTTTTTTTAAGAATCTGTGGTAGCATGCTTAGCTGTGTCAACACTTATCCATGCAAATGATTCTTCTCCATTTATTTATGTGTAACATGGCAACCAGGTTCATACGAGTTCATTTTTCTCAATTTATTTAAACAAGGGCCATGCCGTCACGCCAGATGAATTGACAAGGCGATGTCATAGCTTTCGTAGGGTTCTCCATTGCACTTTGAAACCGGCTGGCAGGGGAGAGCACGCGCCCTCTGCCGAGCACAGTCGTGCGCGCCGTATGGTACATGCATTGAATGGCTGTAGCAGAGTGGCATGGGTGTTGCTGAGTTCCATGGTCTACAACTATGTATCCGCAGGCGCTCGTTGGCTGGGTTCCGTGCTTACTTCATTTTCTAAAGTATAATCACGGGAAAAAGAGATAGATTATGACTTGGAACCGAAGAAAAAAAGAATGACTCGATGAAAGAGTTAGCGTTAAGAAGAGTAAATCATGAGTGAAAATTACTCTATTATTTCGAGAGCATAAACACGACCAAAGAGATATACATGATGGTTTAGTCTATACCTGGCCATCCTACCAAAGCCCGAGGCAAAAACCTAGGCCCGAGCCCGGCCCGGCCGTCGTGCCTGGTTTTTGGGCCCAAGCTCGGCCCGAAAGTAATAAAGCATGCCTGGCCTCGGGCTATGGGCGGGCCAGGCCCCTTCAGTAAATAGTAATGGCGAGCCCAGGCCCGGGCCCGACCCTCGGGCTCAAAATCTAGGCCCAGCCCAGGTACAGCGTCGGGTCAGGCATTTTTGGGCTGGGTCGGGTCGGACCATTAGGGCCGGGCTGCCCATGGCTAGGACTACTTTGGTCACCCGATTTCATTTCATTGGAAATGAAACCCTATCAGGAATTCATTTGGCAAAATCCAAATTTCATGTGTGGCTGGCATTAGGATTTTGAGGTGAAATCCTTACCAAGAACAAATATGCAAGAATATAACATGTAGTCTTTACTATTGACACATACAATAATGTTTTGCAACCGCAGGTCGCACTCCCATGAATCGGCTACCACAAATGTAAGTAGCTCCAACTTATGCAAAGAACAACACACTAAGGCCCCGTTCGGATCTCCTCCACAATCCATCTTTGCGAGAATCCTATGAGACGCTACCCAAATGGGTCAGCTCCAAGAATCCCGGAGACCGAGCGGAGGCAGTGCAATTTTTGGGAGCAGCTCCGGCCCAGCTTCGAAAAAACTGGAAGCATGAGTTGCTCGAAATTACTTTTGATTGCCCTCCCGAAGTGCCACTCGAACCGTTTCAGCATCGCCTGGCCCGACGAGATAAGCTACTACTGTTTGATCCTTGCTCAGTAGAACTACAACTGAGTTTGCCAACTACTGATCATCTAACATGGAGTCATGTTAGCAATTCATATGGTAAACATGCTTCAATTCAACAACATTTTTTTGTGTAAAAATGTCCAAAGGCCCAGCCCCAGGCTAGCCCAACCGAATCCTGGATTCAACTTTTAAAATTAAATTATTGTGTTTATGTATGTACACACTAGCTTTTTGACGGGCTCCTGCGTTTGCTACAGTTCATATGACATGTATGTGGTAGGGTATTATTCGTATATGCTCTAATTTTTTTTTGTAATTTTATCTTTCATATCCAAATAGCTAGCCCCCAATAAATTATTTTTCTCAACATGCAAGCATGCCACCTCAGCATGCAACATGTATGGGAAAGACCCACCACAACATACAACCATGCATTGTGAAAAAACTCGCATTGACATGCAAACATGCATCAGTGGACGGAAACTCCCCTGCGTCGGGGCGGCTCGGGCGAAAACCCTAACCGCCTCCGCCGCCACCCCCTCTCCCTCCCTCCCCCCTCACCGCCGTCAACGCACATCGGCGGGCAAAGCCCGTTGGCGGCCGGTGGTGGCAGGATCTGGCCCGCGCGCTTGCTGGGGTTGGGCGGGGCCCTCGCGGTTGTGGGATTTCTGGCGCTGCTCGCTGCAAGATGGAGATGGTGTGACGGCGCACGGCGGAGCGGCGCGACAGAGAGGCGGTGC